ATAGAATATCTACTGTTCCTGTTGATGGTCATGGCTCATTTTCCAGGATAAGCAATGGTTTGCCAGGTAGTGGAGATGAGAGGAGATGACACCTGTGTTTCTGTTCAGCAGTCTAGTGGATTTCACAGAAAATTTTGAAATGCTGTAAAATATAAAACACAGGTTAAATCTTTACCTCAGTTGCATTATCCGTAAATATACTGATTATGGCTAAGTTAATGCCACTGGCAGTATTATGGAAACCATTTAATGCTTTCATCAAAAATAAATAAACATTAACTCATAAGCAGAAAGAATAATGTTACTATCATCACATAACAGAGCTAATAGAGGGAAATGTCTTGGTAGTTATGTTTAACAAAAAAATATAGTGTAAATAATAAATTATGACTTTCAAAGCCAGATTATAAAATCTAATCACGTGAGAGAATTTTTTCAGAAATAACTAGCTAGCTAATTTGTAAAGGCGTTTTCAAATGTGTTTGTTTTTTCAGCCATAAGTTACTTTATATCAGTTTTTACAAATTTGATATTAAACTACTGTATATACCCATGCTTAATATACATTTGACATATGTAAGAGAAAAGAATAAGCAGCAATATCATTACTAGTTTATCTGTTTTTAGCCTTTATATTAAATACATTTTATCATTTAAACGATAAAGACAAACATGCAGGAAAAAAATGTAAGAATATGAGAGCTGTTTACATTAGCTTGGGCCTCTTAATATGATCTAATACCTTGTGGAATGTGTATTTGTCCTTTGATTGTGAACTTACTAGCTAACAGCAGAGAAAAGGTACTTGGTCTCCATGTTTATTTAGTCAACTGACAGAATGAGAGGATGATGAGGGAGGGGTTGCTGTTCATGCTCTCAAGCTCATTTCACCTTCTCCACCTTTATTTGTTTCTCATGTGCCTGCTGCCATTCAAAGCCCAACTTTGAGTGTCACTTGCATGTTGAATGAGTTGGCCTAAGTTACGTTTTTTTTTTGTTTTGTTTTGTTTTGTTTTTTTGGCCATTCATCAGGCTTCACGTGTCTTTCACAGCTTAAGAAAAGGCAGATTGTGGATTTTATGTGATTGAGACTATTTAAGAAAACAAAGTCTCACACTTCCTGTATGTGTCTGTGTTTTAGCCTTTGTTTTCTCTGTCTTTGTTTTTCACCTCTCAGCCTAGAAATTTGTATTTCTACAACATGAGTGCATTTTAGTCAGGTTTACAATTGCTTCATTCCACTTCCCATTTATAGCTCACATGGTAATCCGCAAGATTCACATCATTTCATTTTGGCAGCGTCTGTGGTGCTAAGTGGCCTCCGCTGTGGTGTTCTCTTAGAGACGCTCCACCTCCCAGAGATCAGTTGGCAGTCAACTCACTAGGCTACCACTATAGCACGTGTCTCTTCTATCTACTACAAAAGTATTTCTCTTTGTGAATTCTGGACTTACCATTTTAAATTTCAGTGTTTCTTTCCTTTCTATTTCAGCAGTTATTCAGTTGCTAAGACTGTTAACGAAAGGTTTTGCCAAAATGTTAGCTTTCTGTGCGTGGGCTACAGTCACTGCAGATTCTTATATTTCACAAAGTTTAGTTTTTTCTGCTGTTTCACATAGATATGTGGGAGATGGCACATCTTGAAGTTGTCTGCTGTTATCTTTATGTAAGGCACTTCACTGAATAGAACCAGAAGTCTCACTACCTCCTCTGTCTGTCTCTCTCTGTGTTTCATTCTCCAGGGGAAGTGACGGCAGTCGAAAGCTCAAGAATGTAAGTGATACTGTCAGGTTACAGTGGGATAATTTGTTTGTGTGCTAAATACATGTTTGGAAAGAAAGTGTTATTCTGGTGCTGTGTTTCTCTTTTTGCTTTCACTATCCATGATTTCAATGGCTCTTACTAATCCGTGATCCACCTCTGTGTTTTCCTGTTAAAAAGTTGTTCCTCTTTTCTACGTTCTTGTCCCTGGGCCTGGATCACTGGGGTTCTTTCTCTATATTGTGGGGCATTTACCTTTACATAAAGTACCTTGACACAACTCTTACTATGAAATGGTGTTAAATATCTAGTTTCTATTCTGTCTGTATTATCCTTTATTACCTTTCCACTTTACCCTATTTATGTGCATCTGTTCATGCATCTTACTTTGTTTGTTTTAGATGGTATGTTGGTTTTTCATATTTTTTGCTTAGTGTTTTCTTGCACCTTCGAAGTCAACTATTTCTACATATTCTGTGAGTCTAGATTGATTTCAGGCGTCTTTATTCTTGCCTCTCTTACAGCCTTTTAATTATTTAGAAGCCCGTTATAGTCACTGTCTGCTCAAATCAGCACCTTCCTATCCTTTTTCTAATAATGCCGCTTTAAGAAGTAGAACACACAATGCTGGCCCTGCCTACTCTGCAGTCAAAGCAGTTCTACTCGCGCTCTCTCTCTCTCTCGCTATGTCTCTGTCCTCCCCTCCTCTCTCTGTGATGCTGCTGTGCACTGTACAAGTTAATGTGTCGAACTGCAGCACTGGTCAGGCCTGTTAGCTCATTTAGCTGACTAAACATGGGGGACTCCAGCATTTGCAGCGGTGGCAAATGGCTAACATATTCCCAGCAGCCAACACTTTTGCAAGGAACCTTCTGCTGTGATGTTCTGTAGATTCAGGACTAAGGACTAGGATTTGACAGCAGCTGTCTCTGCAACACATCAAATATTGAGTGGTGACGAAACTGCATCGAGAGGAATTTGCTGATGTGATGACAAAGGTGATGTTTAGCAAACAGCAGATGGGACGTTACCATTTTTAAAAGAGGTATGCCTGGATAAGATACTGCTGAATCTGCTGTGTTCATGAGACTGTTATTTAGCAGGTAAAGGTGTGAAGAAGAAGGCCTGATTATGCATAGTGATGACTGTGAGGTAACAAAACAAAATCTGTATCTGTATGCATGTCTGCATGCACTGGATAGTGCTGAGGTCCTGACATAATAGGTGGAATTTTGGCTTCGTTCATGACCCTGCAGTGTGTGACTTTAAGTGTGTTTGCACATGAACCAAAAAGGTGAATGTTGTTTTCCAGTGGAACTTCCTTGACAGGTCTGTCCACGTGTGCACTGACAGGCAGCTGCTGAAATTGACAAGGCAAAGCATGTGTGACGCTATGCATTATTCTGCTGTCACGTCGTTTATTTTCATTCCTGACTGTCGAAACTCCGCTGACATGTACTTAAAGTTTGCCTTTGAAATTCTTTAAAAATGCTCTTCGTTAAGTATTGGTTGGTTTAGTGCTGCATGTGTAAATCATACAGACAGAGTTTTGGAATGTGATTGTGGAGTTTGGGATTGATAAGGGTGTGTTTACAGCACAATAGTAAGCAAGTGAAACACATTTGGTGCTGACCCAGTTCCAGTGGGAGTTGGCATGAATCTGCTATTGTGGTGACACAGAAACTCCATATTCTGCTGCTGAGAGAGCTGCAGTATGCAGCTAATGAAGCTAAACCTCAGCAGCTGTGTTGTCACAGCTTCACCTCTGTAGTGTCAGGATATTAGATAAAAAATCTCATGTGGTTCTGAAAATATGGCTTATGAAACTAAAATTGTATAATAGTTAGAGTCAATGATTGATCGATGGAACTGTCCCCAGTTGCAGCTCAATGATGTTTCACCCTTTAATAAGGCTAAAAGTTTAACTTATCTTCATCGTGCAACACAGCTTCACATAAAAGGTCTCATTTAGCTTTGTGCTTATTCTGATCAGCAGACTGGTTCTTTTGCACTCCCTCCAACTGCGCTTGAATGGCAGAAGTTGTTTACACTGACAGTATGACTGAAATAAACACATTAAGCCTTGCTGAGCTTTCTTATCAAAGCGCTCCCTGTGGACAGCTCGTTGACATGGACACAGTAAATATAGCTGGGAGCTCTTTGCCAACAGTGTTAAAGGTGCAGCTCTGTGTGATTTCCCTTTGGCCGGAGTCGGTGTGTAAATTTTACATTTTAGACATTTAGCTGACAAAAGAACTTCAGTTCGTTGGTTCCTCAACCACAGTCAGTTACGTTGGGGCATTTGTTACAACCAGTGGTGCCAAAACAAAAGTAGAGGCTCTTTCAGCTGCTCATTCAGCTGCTGTTAATGTGTTTCAGAGAGTTAAGAATGACCGGGTAACTGATATACTCAGCACTAAGCTAGCTAACAGGCAATTATAAATCACTGTGACCACAGAAAGGTGGCTATATGTCAGCAAGAGAAGTGCCTGTGACCAGTTTCGGTGTCTGAACAGTGCCTCAGTGTTGTTGTGTTTCTTCCAGCTGCGTTTGCTAACTTATCACTTCTTTGGAAGAGGCTGGGCTGCAATTACCAGGAAACTAGCTGGCACTGTTTTACAAAAAAGGGAAAAGTGAAAGCAAGAGAGTGGGTGTTTTGTTGTAGTTTTTTCTTTTTCCTTCAATGCATCCAATATTATTTATAGCTATATGACTGCTTTGCTGCATGAACATACCAGAGATACACCCGTGTAGCATATTTTGAGTTGACAGGCTAATGAACAGTGTGAATCCAAGTTATCATTTTGAAGACTTGGGATGCCAGTGGCCTGTGAGGCTACTGCCCAGACTGCTTTTTCTCTGCTAGTGACGATTAGGATTTGAAAACTAATTTTTAATGTTATTTTTCTAAATTAATAAGTTTAATATTGTTGGACTGTACAATTTGTTTAAGGTGATGTAAGGCTGACTGGAATTAAGACAGAGTGCTTTGAGTTGGTATTGAAATGTGATCAAGTAGCTCTTTAGTTTTAAAAGGTTAATTTGTTTCATGCTTTTCTTTTATTGGAAAGATCAGCTGATATTTTTTCATGATTTTTGTCTGCATTTCTTCTTTTCTTCAGGTTTTAATTACTATCTACTGGTTGGGTCGTGCTGCCAATAGCTGTACATCCTACAACGGGCCCACGTTGGACCTGAAAGAGTTTGAGGGCCTGCTGTCACAGATGCGAAAGGTTGGATAGCTCATGTTTATGCCAGCGATAAAAATATAATGGAAATCTCAAGTACATGGATAATATAGTCAGCACTTGCTTTTTCCCCCCCATTATGTCTCTCTTAGTAACCAGAGCTATCAAGTGTAATAGGTAGGGAGACCATATGCTATATTAAATATTTGATCCCTGCAGTAATTCATTTCTACAGCCAAAGTGACCTGAGGCATGACACACAGCTTCTGCAGAATCACTTATTTTGGAACTGAGATTCAGAAAATGTGTGTTTGTTCGCTGTACTAACATTTCTGAGAAAACACCTTTCACCCGAGTTCCAGTCAAGAAAATTGAATTTAACCTACCTTTTACCTTTTTAATGACCCAAGAAAAAGGAGAAAAGTTAGAAATGGCAAACCCTCAAGACACATACATGCATACACCCTCTGTGACCATCATTCGTAGCCATGATGTCAGTTCTGTGCAATTTATTCCACTATGTGACGTCCTTTTGCTATTCTGTAAAACTGGGAAATTGCTGCCAATTCAGCAAAAATACTTTCCCAGATGTTCACACGTTGCAGACGGACAACACAAAGCCATAATTCCACAAAGCAAAAAAAACTTTGATAAAATGAAGGAAAGCTCATCATGTGCAGGTGCATGAAATTCCAGAGTGACTATTCACTTCCCGCCACACTTCCAAAAGTTACTAAATGGAAGCTGGACCTTACCAAAACTGATGATTGAAAAGCACTAAGCAGGTAAATGTGAGCTCAGCTGCACTCTTATTTACTTTTTGTAAAAAGCTTAGTTTAAGTGCTTGTGTTAAAGGGTGAGTTACGAGGGAGATGCATATTTTCTTACTTAACTGGTATAGTGGTATATAAGTTATAATATATTGGTTTAAATTGTGTAAAAGTGAAAGAAACAAATCACACATGACTTCTGCTGCTGTAGAGCCTGTTTTATAAGCATAACAAAGACATTTAGGAGAGTTTGGGAGTTGCATAACAGATGGTAGAGGGGTCATGGGCAGGAAGTCTTTTGGTAGACAGGAAAGGCCTTTCCCCACCTTCCATTAGCTGCAACAACACATTAAAGCTGTGGACAGAGAAAGGGAGGGGTCACTAAGGTGAAGAGAAAATGATGAAGAGTGATGTAGGTAGAAGAAGAGAGAGGTTATTGGAAAAATAGATGTGGGCAGAGTGGAGACTTGCAGCATGACAGCTGTAGCGGACACAAAGGCCAAACAACACAAGTTTGGGGGACTTCAGTGACGACTTATGGAATATGCAGCGAAAATTCCTAATTCATTTTAGGGTGTTTGATTACTTTCATTACTCTCCACCATTTGTTATCACTCTTTTTTTTGTGCTCATGCATTTTGTAAAATGTGTGTATGCATTCTCAGGAGACAGAAGAGGCAGAGAGCCCTAAACGCAGCATCCGGGACAGTGGCTACATTGACTGCTGGGACTCTGAGCGCAGCGACTCTCTCTCTCCGCCACGCCACGGGCGCGAGGATTCATTCGACAGCCTGGACTCCTTCGGATCACGCTCAAGACAAACCCCGTCACCAGACGTCCTGGTCGCCCGCGGCAGCAGTGATGGTAGGAAAAAAATTGAGTCTATAGACTCTTCGATTCACACTGAACTGCTAGTTTTAGTTGACTGTGAAAGACTGGTTACAATGGCCACCAAATCACAATTTGCAGGTTAAATATGTTCAGTAGCCATTGTGTTGTTTTAGCAATAGCTGTTTTTCCTGCTAGTGAGAAGTAAGTCTTTGTGCAGGTTGGGCAAGGTGCACAGATGCAACATATAGATAAATGAGGTTTATTGTGCTTTGAATGCTACTGTATGAAGGCTTGTTGTTCTGGCTGTGTTTTTGCAGGACAACGCCCAGTTCAAGTCAAAGGCTGTTTGAGAGAATAACATGAATAATCTCTGTACTGTTTTGAAGTCAATTTATGGCTCTTGTTATATTTAAGCCACGGTAATGTACATTGTAAAAGGAATTCAGTAGTGGCTGGGCTCAGTTCCAGTGTCTGTTACCTCTCTTAGACCAAGGGCTACAATCGCACCGCATTAAAGCTCTCTGTATTCTTCACCTTATCTGACGTCAATCTGCAGTGTCAGAAAACATCCTAGAGTCTAGTTTCAATAACAAATCTGTCCACATTTGTTTTTGTTTCAAACACATTTCAGTGATGTAATATTAGCATATGCTCCAACAAGCAGGTGATGTAACACCAAAGGCATTTCATTTATTCATCTTTTTGGAAGGGAAAATTCAAAATTTATGAAAAGATGAAGTTGGCAAGGCAGCAACAGCCACACAGCTTCTGTTTTGTCCTTTCTTTTTGTTTAGAAATTTTGAAAAGTACTTCTTCTTACAGTACAAATTAGAGCCTGTCCTTATGAAGAAGGAAGCAGGGAGACTTTAAGCTGTAGTTTAAACAGTGAAACACTTAAACCCTGCTTATTCAGGGAAAGCTCTATGAAATCTTAGTCCTTAATTCCCCTAAAAATGCACAATGCAGTAGATTTATTTTATAACTCTATTTCTTTATTAACTCTGTTGCTTATCTAGTTAAATCTAGTATGAATGAAAATAGTCTCAGCTATCATACTTGTCCCAGCTCGCAGTCTTAAGGTGTTTGTACCATTCCTCATACCATTGCCATCTGCACAAAAGTATCTCTGTGCTTGATGTTTGAACCTTTTGTCCTTAGTTACGGCTTTTTGATGCGTTTCTTTAAGTGTGCACTCAGATGAGTGACAGCACCAAAGATTAAGGAAGGTATGACATATCTCTATACAGTATGTGAGACAAAGAAGAGGAAGAGTTGTGGTTTCATGAAGGAACTTTCAGTGGTTTTGATCTGACACTTGACTGGTATGTCAAGGATTATGAAACTAACAGCTCTTGGTTTTGAGAACAGAAGATATTGTTACATATAATGTATGTATATATGTAAAAATATGGTCTTTGTAATTATTTGGAAGGCATCAAATAGAGATTAAATATGTATACTTTTAAATTTGTCACATTAATTTCTGTCTTTGTCTCTAGATTTCCCTCAACATGTTTACATCGCTTTGTTGTTTATTACGAAAAATGCTTACTACTGTATATGTGCAGTTTAAGACATCCGACATGGTAGCATGGCACTTGCAAGACCAGCATAAGCTGCAAAACCTTTGAAGTGGCTTTGTGCTGATGTCAGAAATTGAGTTAAAAATACATTTTGGTCTCACATGAGTATTTTATAATGCCAAACTGGCCACATGCTTTCATTGAAAGCTGCTAATTGCTAGACTGTTTGTGGATTTGAAGGTATAAAATTTTAATGGTAGACTATAAAAAAAGATTACTGCGTTCGTCACACAGTGTAATGTACTTCTCATTGCTGAGCTGAATGTGGGAAAAACTGAGGAAAAGCATCCTGTCTGATTATGTTTTTGTTTTGAGGGAAGTGCAAAAGGAAACTGTTGTCCCTTGTTGTCATCAACAGTCAAACTATAGTGCTTTAGGGAAAAATCCGCAATGTATCCTGTGTTTTGTTTTTTTTAAGTGTTTACTTTATTGTTGTAGATAAGTAGCTTTCATTTTTGGTTGTAGAAGCAATATTCGCTATTTTAAAAAAAAACAGTGCTAGGATGATGGTATCCAAAACATCCTAAATATGGGCCAATAAACAAGTTTTAGCCAGTCTACTGAAAGTTGACCCCTTACCATGTTTCTCTTTATTTTTTTAAACCTTTTTTCAAGTTTAACGTAGGTTGTACTGCCTGCTGTCATTTTGTCTATTAAAAAATATGGACTGTGTAGGCTTGGTGGGGTGCCAGGCGGGTGGAAAACCTTTTATTAGCAATCTTGTTAACCACATGCACACACATGCCCCTTGCAGCTTGAAAGAGTTAAGAGAACCAGGCAAATGTTTATTGTTGTTGTCTGTCTACTCATGTTTGCTAATAAAGGTAGGCAAGATATCGCTATACAGGGTGTCCCACAAGTCACTATATACTTTTAATAGATCCCTAAAAGTTCCACAAGAAACTGCTACGTTCTCTTCAAGCTTGAAGTGGGAATTAAACATACAATAAGCAACACCAGCCTGACGACCCCCAAATCTGACAATAACTCAAGTTTTTCCGGCAGTGACCCAAAATTAGCTTTTCAAGGGTATTCCACTATTACGCAAAAAGAAACTTGATGGAATAAATGGGCTCTGTTTTCTTAAAAATAGCCTCGAAAAAAGCTGCCACAAACATTCTTTCAACCTCTCTTGTTTATACTACAGAAGCATTACCTAATCAATTTTTCCACCGACACATGTAACTCACAGCTGATTAGTCACACTGTCAAACTGCTGACACCTACATATCATCCAAAGATTGAAAAGAACGAAGAGAGTTGATAGCTGATGAACTGAGGAGGCAGATTGGAGTTTAGCATACCACTACCTGTGGTGGAATTTCCTTTTAAGTTTTGATAAGTTTATTTTATTTCAGATGCACTTTGTGATTCATACATGCTTTCAAAAGCTACATATTTAACATCACAATCTTGTGATATTTATTATTCCTGGTTATCTAAATATCAGTGATCAAATGAGACCCACAGGTACAAACTAGATATTTTTAACCCAGGGGGCTTTGAGTACATCTAGCCCCCTGGGTTAAAAAAGAATCCTTTTGTTAACATCCATACAAACTTGACTCCAGCAGGTTTTCCCTGCCCTGACCTTTAGACAAAGCCCTTTCTCTGTTCAGCACTGAAAACTGACTTCACCCTGACAGAAATTAGGAAGTTTGGTTCAATCGAGAAATTCAATATTGGCAATGCCCTTTTGTTTGGGCTATGTGTGGAGATGGATACGGTTTGGATAAATGAGGCACTTTTGTGGGCTTCTATAGTAAAATTGTCCTTCTCACTTTCTCTGTTTACAGGGCAGCGCCCACTGCCAGTCAAAAGCCGTTTGAAAGAATGATTGAATGATGTAATTGAGATAGTTTTAAAGGTCTTGTAGAAAATATCTCTCCAAAGTGTCTGAAAACTATGTTTTCAGACTCCTGGCTTCATACATAATCAATGAAAAATCATCAGAAACTGAAAGCATAGCTTTTTTCTCGTACTGCCACATAAACAGTTTACGATTGTAAGAATGATATTGTCTGTATTCAAACTTGGAATCTTTTTTTAATTTGTTTTAATTTTAGTTTGCATAGAAGTGAAAATGGACATCTTATATAAAGGCAACAACTGTTAATTTTGTAAACTAAAATGTAGAGTGTAACTAACGCTTGTACGGACACGTATAGCTGGGGACCCGGCAGCTCAGTAGTCATTCCTGTTGTTCTTCTTTGAAGTTCCCTTGAAGGCTTGTGCCTCGGATGTCTGGATAGTTGGTGCATTATAATGTAAAGTCTCAGCAGTGTACGGTGTATGTGGTCAGTGTTTCTGATCACATTCGAGTGGTCAGAAAAACAAGCACGTGCACAGACACCCACATGGACACTCGCACTCACCATCTGATGATAAAAATCACTCAGACAATAGCGGACTCACAGATGAATATAACAAAGCTGACGTTTGTTCACATTCATTGGATGTCTTTGTATGGACCAGAAGTTCTTCAGAACCTGTAATAATGATGCACTTTCATCAGCAACTGATGTGCTTCCATGCACTGGAAATAATACATACTACGTATTAGTTACTTATTTACTACTATTGGTATTAATAGTAGTACATTTGTGTTATTTCTTCTAGTTTTTCTTTTTGCATTGTACAGTTATAATAAATGCTACGTATTTCTAGTTAGCAACACATTGTTGAATTAATTATTTCTCACATTGTTCTTACATTTTGTCTTTTCATACTTGGTGTTTTGGACATTCGTTACAACTTTTCAGTTACTGCGATCGTTATTGAACTAGACTTTGTAACTTTTTCTTTCGTAATGCAGTATAACTAGATGATGATGATGATGATGATGATGATGATGACTATTGATGTCACTGTATTTTTCTAAAATCTTGGTACACTATGGACCTGACCCATGATACATTTTCTCTCAAGCTTCACTATTACCATATGTGCAGAGGGAGCACATCATCCTGTAAAAAACATATGTTGTTCCTTAAAGATGGATCGACTTGGATGGCAGAGTCCCTCATGTTTCCATTGCATGGGTTAAGAGCCATAATTGAACCCTTCGTTGTTAGAAGTGCAGATTTCTCGAAGTCTTTTTTTGGACCTTGATCTGTCAATCTTTGAAACCACATAAAAAGCCTTTTGAAAGAAAAAGAAGCTTTTCACAAGTTCAAATGTGACAGCTGCTTCCATGTGTATGTCCACAAAACTAAGGGAAGATTTTATGACTTAGATCTGGTTAAAATTCTGGGTTTGTACTCTGAATATATACATTGAGTCATAAATTTATAGGTCATAGTCTGAGTACACATGCACTCAAAGGGAGGGGACAGTAGCACATGTGCTGAACATCTTTGAGAGGAATTTTTAGCGACCTTGAATAAAGCAAGGCTGCAGTTATCTGTTTGCTGCGGGTTTTAACATATCTAGGCTATGGTTTGCAAAAAATTGCCAAGTAATCGTGGATGTGACTGGTATATCTTCAGTAAATCACTGGAACTGTAAACATGTGACCTGCTGAATGAGACGGAGTTTCATTTCTTTCTTCTTCTTAGAGGATCACAGTGGGCCATCGCACAGAGGAATTTAGGACCCCAAGTAGGGAAAGTCCTTAAGCAATGAACTTCTGCAAAGCCAGGTGTTACCACTGATATTACAAAGCTAACATTATGTTTAAAACCTGATTCACACAGGAAGAATTTACTCCGTGTCTAACTGCGTGCTAATATTTAGTCAGCACAAGCTGCACAATGCAAATTTAGTGATGATTTATGTCACCTGCTTTGTTTCATAAAAACAGGCTTGCATCTGATTTATGCTCTGTGGCAAAAATGCACTGCATATAATAACACTATTAGACCACTGTAATTTTGTTATGCGTATATGAAGGTTTAAAGAAATAAATCTGGGCTTTCTGCCACAAGACTCCTCAATCAACAGTTTTTCCTCTGATCTTATTTTTGGGTTTAATCTCTTATGTCTCCCTCTTGTTCTCCCTCTGTCTCTCTTTTGCAATGACTCAGCCAGATACAGTTTTCTTGCTGTGTAGGATACTTAAAATGAAGTCGTTTTTTATCGTTTTTTGAACACATTGCGATTGAAAAGGGGCTTTAATATAACACATACTTGTGTTTACATGATTTGTCACAAGTGTAAATGGGCTGAGAACTGGGTGCTTTGTAGAGTATATCTGAGTCTCTGATTACTTCTACCACACTTTGAGTTTTGTTGTTTTTAGCTTATTTTTTCTTAGCATTAAGGTAAAGGAAATCAGTGTGAGCAGGTAGCATTGTTCCTGCCATTTTGCTTAATTTCAGAACTTTTAATCAGCGTTTCTGTCATATCATATCAAGATGTACAGCATCATACCATGACCAATGCAAAAAAAGTGGTTATGTTTTTCTCATGCAAAATACTTTTTGAGAGACATCGCTGTGTAGTCTCTAAAGACACACAGTGCATGTATATATATAACATGTAGTATGGTCTGTTTCTTCCATATAGGTTAAAAAATACCATTTTGATGAAAAATGTGTCCTCTGGTGCCAGTGAACACTTCTTCTGTTCGTCTTTGTTCGTCTCATTAGGCCGTGGCAGCGACTCGGAGTCTGACGGCGCTCCTCACCGGAAGATGCCAGATGTTCGTAAGGATGACATGTTGGCACGACGGACGTCTGTCAGCGAGCCACGAACCGCCGTACCCTTTAACCAGTACCTGCCCAACAAGAGCAACCAGAGTGGATATCTGCCAACGCCACTACGCAAAAAGAGCAACGACAAAGAGGAGGGAGGACGCAAGAGCTGGAGTACCGCCACTTCACCTGTAGGGGGTGACAGACCTCTTAGGTAGGTGTAACACTAGAGAGTGCTTTTGTGACTTGGCTATCAAAAAGACATTTAGTTTAGCCTAACTGAAAATATCATATAATATTATATGTATGGAATACTAAAAGGTGTCTGTTCTTTGTGTGTCGATATATACAATTGTTGTTAAGTTGGGCACAATCCAAAATAAGAAACAAAGAAGTTTAATAGCTTAATGAACAGATTATCAGGGGTACATGTTACACCACTGTGGCTTGACACTGATTGGTGCAGATAAACCCTTTTAAAGCTTGTTTAAAAAGTTCTGGCTGAAAGCGTACAGTTCAGGGTGCGGATGGAAGAAATCCTGTTAAAACAGTTGTTTTTTTTTTTTTAAATAAGCCTGAAGATGATGGCTGAGATTAGTAGATATGGATGTAGACCATGAAATAATTTAAAGTAATTACTTTAATACAGAACTGATAAAACTGACCAGTGTGAAAGACAGATATTAAAACAAATCAGCTGTTGGAGATTTTTCACTGTTTTAAAATGTTTTGTGTGTGAGTGATGTTTAGGGGGGGTTTGTTTGTTTGGTTGTTTTTGGGTTTTTTTGTTTTTTTGTTTTTTTTTTACAGTAACTGGCAAGATTAGGTGTTATGTGAAATTGCATATGTCTGTAATAAAACCTCTCAGCTTTTGATTATTTTTCTAGTATTGTACAGATGTGAGTGGCTAATAGAGGCCAGATGTGGGTTTTCATTGGCTCTAATTCTGACTGAAGCAAATGTCTGAAGCAGATTTAAAACAAAAGGTCTTTTTGAAATAGTCTGGCATGACACCATGCAAATTTCATCACAAGTTTCAGATTTCCGCTTGCTCAGCGGATTCCTTGATGTGCTTTGATTGTCTCTTGTAGCATCGGACGTTGCTTGTTTGCTATTGACTAGATTGAGTTTGGTGTTTAGGGACGTATACCAGGGGTGCAACAATACACAAAATTCACGGTTCGGTTCGATACTTTGGTGTCACAGTTCGATATTTTTTTCGATACAAAAAAAATGTTCATGCCTTTTTAATTTGTCATTTATTAAAATTATAAATATATATTTTAACTCAAAAGTACAGTTTTTAAATATAATGTTGCTGAAAAACAAAATAATTTAAAAAAAAATCTATCTGCTCGAGAAATCACTCATCTTTGGAAAAGAGAGTTTATTTTTTTATTTATTTGTATTTATTTATTTTTTCAGTTGTTGGAAAAGAGAGTTTATTACAGGGGTATATTCTCAGCAGCATATTAAACATATCAGGTCCCCATAAGGAGAATCATGTGCTAACAGCTGTCTAAATGACTCGGGTAAAGTTTGTAGCATGTGTGCTTGTTGTTTTTGTCTGCTTCCACTTGTCTTTGCACTAGGATGATGTCGGCGTAAATGTGCAGTCATATTCGTTGTGTTCCCACTAGTGCTGTCAGCGTTAATATCGTTAAAATGACGTTAACGCCACAACACGGCAAATCTCCGTTAACGGGTTACCGCGGATCGCCCCGTTTATGGGGCTGGATGGCGTCAACACATTAACGAGCTAACTGCGCTAACGCACTAGTTCCCACCAATGAAATTGAGCATTGCGTGGCACATCCGACATACTGTTTTACTTTTGTCCATGACTCGCTTACCATCAGGGTCATACTTCACATGAAAACCAAATTAGTTCCAAACGCCAAATCTGAATGAGGGTGGGGGAGGCTCAATTTCGGGTAGCGTTGAGGCAGTTGCCATGTTGCAACGAGCTTAGCTTCTTTTTCGCTAGCTTGTGCTGCGCTCAGTGGATCTGCGCTCGACAGTGCAGCCTAGGCGGAGTAGTCGAACGCAGATCCACTGAGCTCTCAACACAGACAGCATAGTCAGAAGAAAAGTTGATGAAATAAATTACAAATTTTGTATTGTTCGATACATATGCGTACCGAACCGAAAGCACTGTATCGAACGGTTCAATATCGATACGAATGTTGTTGCACCCCTAACGTATACTTGTGGCAAAAATAACAATCGCAATTATTTTGGTCAGTATTTGGATTACTTAACATGATAATGACTTCGTAGAAGAAAAATAATCTTTTTTTGTTGTTCCTTGTTGGACTCCTGGAAAGTACATTTCTTCCAAACAGCTGAATTGGTTTAATTTTTCTCGCAAATCAAAGTTTTCGTTTCTGTTATCTTGGCTCAACTGAAATGAACCTGCCACAGCTTGCTTGGATTCAGAGAAGGACCCAAATGTGCTGCTGCAAAGGAAAGAGGATTTATAGCAATGTATAAGAGTGTTTCATATATTTCTATATTTAATTTGGCTTCAATGACAGGAATCTCCAGGAGATTATACGTTTTTAATTAACATTTTGCCCAACAATGTTTGCATTTTTACAGCAGCTCCTTCACTTGTTAGATATACTCTTGGGAAGTGTTTTGAGCTTGTGTGTATCACCCAATTGGTTATTTCCCTAAATTTCATCCATCAAAGCTCACATATTGATTTTGCATTTATTCTTTTCCTCTTTCCCTCCTTCTCCATCTCTTTACTTCACCTCTTATTATTTTATGTCATGGTGTGTCCTTCACTCTTTCTTTCCCCAACCCTCCCTACATCTGTTTGTGCTTCATGTCTTATGACCATCATGTTGTGATTATCCTCATGTGACTAATTTTACTCCCAATGTGATTACGTATTCCTCTCCTGTGTGTGTGTTGCATGAATGGGTGATGCCTCAGTCTAAATGAGGTCTGTAGCTTAGAAATCCCTCCTGGAGAATCCCCTAGTCCATCCCCCGCCCTGCCCCTTAAACCCTGTGCACAGATTCAAAAGGAGAACCACATTAAAAAGGACAAGCACGAAGGGAGGCAGTCTGCATCTCCGCCTTGCATTGAGATCCATACAGCAGGCAAAAGAAGGAGAAGTGAGCCTCTGCCCAGTAGTCTCCCCCAGCCCCAAGCAGAGCCCCCAAGAGAGACTGTAATTCATCTGATGGTCACCTCTGAGCAAAGGTCTTAACCTTCACTCATATTTTCTCAATACCAGATATCAACATCCCCATTCCTTTTTGTAATTACTATTTTTTTATGTTTGTTTTTTTAAAATTTAACCCGTCAAGTTTATTTTTGTGCTTTTACACATTGTTTCTCTGATTTTTAAGCAAAAATTTATTTTATATGTGTAAAGTTTTTAGGTGGCTGCAGAGAGCTCTGTGCAGTGTCACAGCTAAGGTGGGGGGGAGGTCAGAAAAGTAAATAAAGTAAAATTACCACACCACTATCCATATCTGCTTTAAGCTAACAGCTCCAAGGTAAATGAAAAACTAATAGCATGTTGTTATTCTACACTCCAGTTTGATAATAATATATAAACAGTATTTGGAGTTGTTTGGGGTTAGAATAGGCATTTTGGGTGGTAGTGCAATAACGTTATGGATGGTATGGATTTTCTGACAGATTTGATAGAAATGTATACGTTTTCTGTAAAAATCTGACCATTTGATTGACAGTTATTCCTGCTATGTTTGGAAAATCAATCACCAAATGAGCAAAATTGAAATTGTTTTTTCAATACTGATGATTTTTCTTTTGGCTCTGCCTAAAACCTCCTGGTGAATGCCAACAATTGGTTTTTGCAGGAAGAAACTTTGCAAGTCCATGATAGAAGAGTTTAGTGCTCAATGTGTAGAGATCTTTATTATTGTTGGTCATGAGTAGAGTCAGCAGTAATATTTCAGCTGAACTTTTGTTTTTTAAAAGGTTAACTTATTCTACATCAAGTGGTATTTTGCCGTGTTTCATGTGCAAGTTTTGATATATTTGACTCTAATCCTCTTGAATGCCACAGAAAACACTGAACAATTGATCTTGCTTATTTCAGCTGTAGCGTACCTGTCCAAAACCAATGTTTGTGATAGTCACGATACTCAACAAACATCTCTAAGAACTGTTTTCTTCAAGACAGTTTCCATGGTAGAAAACTTTTCCAGCTGGTGTTTAATTTTGCTTTTTGGCATTGCTTTTATCAGATCATCTTTTCCACTGCTCCTTTTATCCAGTCTTGGGTAACAGTAAGTTAGCAAGAGGGTCACATCTTATTTAAACCAGTTTCAGACACACTGTAATGCACTTGCAGCCTTTTGCTTATATATTTCAGAAAGTCTGTACGCAGCAGGACAACCCAAAGTCTCAAATTATACATTTGGTGTCAGGAAACAAGGTGAGGATTATGAGCTGTCAAAGAACAATGCCATTGTATATTTTACAGCTCACACAAATCCAATGTGATTGCAGTGCTCCTTGAAAAATGTCAGTTTAGGTCTCTTATGTAATTTCGCAGTCCGGCCTTATCCGGTGTTATTTCCTAGTCAAACCGACGTTTCGTTCACAGTGCTGTTGGAGAGTCATGCCTCCAGTTTCCAGCATTGTCTTCTGGCACAGATGTTGTGACATTGATTGAATATTGAGAATGTTAAGGGAGTGAATCCTCAATAGAAATCGGATGGTTGTCCGAGACAAAGGGGATTTGTAGGATATTTTATATGGAGTTCCCCATCTTGCATATTTCCTGAATAAAGCCAAGGCTAGAATTTTTTTTCAATTTCAGCTAATTGGTTTTTGCAATGTTGACACATCCTTTTTAAGAGCTTTTGCTGTTTAACTCAATTAGTTGAGTAGAGCAGATACCCAGTGCCATGTTTTTTTAGCTGTTTTTGTAGTTGCAATAATGATCAAATCGGTTTGACATCTAAAGTATCAGAAATCTGTTGTTCTCTAGATTTTTTTCAATCAAACATAAATTTTGATCAAGTGAAAGGGAGAACAAAAGAACCAAGTGGTTGCTTTGCAGTTATATCACAATATATTTCCATCAAATCTGCAATCATATGCTAGGAGCAAAGCTGCATGCACAACTGAAACATGGACACACATAAATATACATATATATGTATATATAATATGGATGCACACAAGAATGTACTGTATGTGTCCACACACAAACAAACATTCACAGAGAACATGAACATTCGACCCACCCTCAGGATGTAAGGAAATGAGGCCTTCTTCCTTCCCTGACCCTGAGCAGGCTGGGACTGAAGCCTGGCCTTTTCACTGCCGGCAGCTGGCCAGTCTCTCCCTCCCTACCATGTATTCTGGGAATTTACAGTCCAATAATAAGCCTCCCAGAAAGTAGCTGTTCATCACAGGATAACAAACAGCAGACTGTTTTGTGAATTTTGGTTTGACTTTGTCTGCTCTGAAGGAATTTGTGACCATGCGCTATTTTCATAGATTTATGTCTTTTAAAAAAAACTAGGCTTCTCCAGAGGAATGCTGTCTTATGATGTAGGATAATAACCAGGCAGCAAAACGGTTTAGTTTGCTTTGCTTTCTGCAGTACTCCAGCTCGCTCGTGCTCAGAGGAATTCTTCCACCATTCGTCGACCCTAGCAGCAAATGCCACGGCCGCCTCCGTGTTTCAAACGAGCCCCATCAACACAGCTGGGAAGCATTCACCTGTGACACACCAGGAGGATGTCGCAATAAGGAAAGGAGTTCCTGGTTCTCTGGTAGCTGCAGATGCAAAAGGAGATGATAAACAGGCTTGTCAAATACCGACCTCACCCAAATGTATCGTCACCCTGAGTCCGTCTAGCTTCCTTCCTGTGCCCACTGCCATGGCAACCGCATCAACAGAAACGACTGATACGTGCCGGCAGAAGGGAAAGCCACAGACTGAAATGGATGAAGGCACGTCTTGGGTGGACAGCAGTCTTCCAGCAAAGTGAGCTCACTCCAACAGCTACACTGTTATTTAATGAAACTTTGCTGCATTAAGCTAAAACGGCTTAATTCACTTCAAAGTGAAGGGATCTTCTATTTCCATGATCCCTTTGAATTTTCTATATCAGCATGTGATCTTGACGTGAGACTGCAGTGCTTCTCTGTGGATGATGAATGTCACTATCTGAAGACTGCATGACCTTTTTTACCTGTTTTACATGAAGGCAAATTGATAGTGCCAGCTAAAATCTGTTGTTGAAAAGGGCTGCATGGAAAGTCTGAAAAGTTGACTTTTTCTCTTATCCTTGCTTTTTTGTTACTGATTAATTTGGGAAAGTAGAAACATTTGAGAATGTGCTTTTTGATTAACTGTGCATGACTTTAGTTGGCAGCTTTTGAGCTGTTCAGGGATTTCAAATTAGGAAACAACTTCAGTGCATTCTGAAGTAAATTTGATCCAGTTTGAACCAAAATCGATGAGTAATTCTTCAGTCTATATCTTTGAATCCAAATCTAGATTGGCAATCACACAGTGATAGTTCAAAGTGTGCCAATGAAATTCTATAGTAAAGCTGGCTTTAAAGCATATTCCCAGCCACACATCTATCTACCCCAAAACATATGGCAAATAGATGTTTTACTAGGACATACCATATGACAAATACCATTTTTAGCAAACAATCTGTCTGGTCTTGATTTAGTCTTTTTTTTTCCCTATCTTGTGAGATTCAAACCACAGGCCACACTGTCTCTCACACCCCTCCAACATCACAGAGACAGCTCTGTATGAAGACCTTTGTGGTTAAGGCCAAACCTACAAGTGGTGGTCACAGACACAAAGACAGCTGCATCCTTGATGTTACCCTTGTGCTGTCTAATAAAACATGCATTTCCTTTTTTTTTCTTTCTTTTTTCAATAGTTTAGTGTCAACTGCATTCTAAGATCATGGCCATATAATGTGTGTTTTGTTTTTTTTTTTAATTATTTTTATTTTATGCCAGCAGTGCTTTTAGTGCTGCAGTAAATTTGTGTTCTGGATAAGACTGCCCCCTTGTGTCTGGCTTGAGGGTTGTCATTTAACCTAGGAGCTAACACAACCAAAGATCACCACACATATTTGTTTCAAGCATTAGTAATTAAATTAAGCTGGTGCGTAGTCACAAACTAACTCATTATCAGCTGCAAACATGGCTTTTTAATATTTGCACGCGTGAATGAGATGTTTCTCTCTTCAGAGTGTTGTGTTCATTTGTGATTGTGTTTTCCCTCCATGCTTTCTGACTTCTGTAGATTCAGCCACACAGATTGTGTGTCAGATGATCCGCAGTAAGTTGTCTTTTTACCCCTCACAGGCTCAGCTGCCTGGCATTGCTCTGCAGTACAAAATACAGCTGGCTCAATAAGTCATTAAATCATTTGTTCATTATTGGAAATAGGTCAGGGAAGTGGGGAAATCTGCCAGAAATTGAAGGAATTTAGAAAAATGTCGCCACTGACAGCAATTTATATTAATAAAAGTTCTATTTTTTCCCTTATTAATTTCATATTGACAATCTTGTGTTAAAAAAATGCTGCATTATGCTGTCATTTAACCATAATATGCTCTTACCAGGGTACGGATCATGTGAAGTGGCCCATAGAACCTCAAACTTTACTGGAATCGATACCCTAATGTCATAAATCATTCCTTTAATTCATCTTTTGGGGCAATTTTGACATGACATGCTAAACACCACATAGTCTAAACAAATGCGGAATGGAACCAAAATGTTTTCTGCAATGACAGTAATTTATCTGATTTCTGTTTTCGTAGAGGTATTAGTGGGAATCAGTGCAGCCAGTCGGTGCTGATGTATGACAGCATTTGTTACAAGGCGACCTTATGTGACGACTTTTTTCTGCATGGAAAACATAAATGTCTCACAAATAAGCAGATTTTCCTGCTTGCAGTTAAATGATTTGTGGTGGACATTTTTGGCTGTGTGCTTCAACAGTGTCAAACAGTGTCCCTGGCTCTTAGGCTTATCATGGAAAATATGGCTTCAATAAACTTAGTGCTTTTTTGCCTTTGCCTGGCAACAATCCATTTCTCTCAAATTTATTCAACGTGCCTGCTGCCAAGGATGTGGAGAGGACTTGCTAAACTCATCCTCAGTGCTTCTGCGAGCCAGCTGCATGTGTCATGTAAAGCAGCCATTTCTACCAGCCTGCCAACAACCAGTCCCTTTAATCCCATACACAACAGCTAAAAGTGCAGCATGATGACAGGGGATTGCTTAAGTGCAGTTGCCCCTTGGTGTGAAAATACTCTACTGCTGCAATGTTCTTTAATGCACACACTGCTCAGTGAGAACCAAAAAGCATTTGTGAGTGAGTACCATCTAAGTGCCACTCTTTTGTAACTTATGACTGTAAGCCAAGCGATACCTTTGAAAATTACCTGTTGCCAGCACATAAAAGTACTAAAAATAGACAGGTGCTATATTCGCATAGTTAAGACAGTTGTCATTGCTCTTAGGCTTTCTAATTCTGTGATCAACATGCATTGTTGCTGCATGCCTCTAACAATAAAGCTGTACTTTCTGTCTCATCTGTAATGTAAAACTGTTTCGCCATTGCAGAACAAATGTAAAGAGAAATGTAAACTGCCTTTGATGAGTCAATGATTGTATGAAGATCATACTGATTGTTGCATCTGATAAACGCAGATTGAAACTGATATTAAATGTATTTAAATGTGTTTTGAAACATATCGAATCCATCAAAAGAGCAAAGACGCAGAAATCTTTGTTTGATCTTCCGAAGGAACAATGGGCTGGATAAAATCTTAGTTGTGCTTACTAAGCGAGCATGAAGTTTCCTTTAAAAACATGTTTCCATGGAACAATGATTTTATTTTTGGTATCTCTCTGAGACACTGGGACCAGTTTATTTACCTTTTCCTCATTATGATAAATTTTAAGTTTTTGAACGATGTGGTTTGTTTGATACATTTGTTTGGACTGTTCCATGGTATACATGGTAAAGCTAATTTGCTGTGTTTATTTGACATTAACCATTTCAGTGGCTCCGGTAGTATAGTGGATTACACACTCGCCTTATAAGCAAAGAAAAATCCCAGTTTTACGGGAAGAGAGAGAAATCCCTTTTGGGTTGCTTCAGGAAGGGCATCTGGTGTAAAAAGAAATCTGCCAGATCAAACATGTAGGCCTACTTGCTATGGTGACCTCTTATGATTAAGTGAGCAGTCAAAAGTAGCTTTTATTCAACATTAAACATGTTACTTCTTCAAAGTTGCATTGAAAGTATAGAATATGTTAAAGCAGTTTTTTTTATATTGTGTTCCAGTGACAAAATGAAAACACCATTACAGTAGTAGTACATCATGTACTATAGAATCACTAGTAGTATAGCTAATAAGCCCAGTTTGATTTAAATAATTACTGCTTGTTTTTTCCCCTTGCCTGCAGGAGTGTGAGTATGATCGACATGCGTGGTGAGGAAGAAGCCACGTTACAGCCGCACAGTCAGGTGCGTCATGAGCGGATGCATAACCAGTACAACAAAATGAAGGAAGAGGAGGACCACTGGCAGGATGTGAGTTTCTCAGACATTAGGTCGCTCACTCTGTATCTTTCGGTCTTTGTTTTATGGGACTGACATTTATTTGTATGCAGTTTGTTACATCTTTGCATTACTTTCATTATTCCTTTTTAACTGCTATGGTTTTACTGCCTGTGGCCTGTTATACAAGCGTCTTCTAAAGTCATTTTAGCTGTGCCCCAGTAAAATAACAGGGAGCTCAAAGTGCTGCTGAACCAGGACATACTTTGAATCTGTCTGTATGGGTGTCAGGACCTGGCCCGATGGAAAAGTCGGAGGAGGAGTATTTCCCAGGATCTGATCAAAAAGGAGGAGGAAAGGAAGATGATGGAGCGCCTGATGTCAGGAGACACCTATACCTCTCAGAGGAGAAGAAGCATCAAGACCTATAGGGAGATAGTAGAGGACAAGTAAGTTACATCCACGACAACCTACTGAGAACTGCTTTAATGAGTATACCACAGGAAAGCCAATAGCTCTTTGCTCAGTATGATATCAGAAGTAAAGAAAAACTGGGTCATTCTCAGAGACGAGAATTATATGTCCCCTGTCATTGCTGTCAGCGGGCACAAAGGTGAATGCAGCTCCTCCTGGAGTTCACTTTAAATAGGTCTCCTTCAGAAATTAAAAGGAAGAGCAGATTGTGTGAGTGATTGTGAAATGACTAGAAGAAACTGATCTTTTGCAGTGAAGAAAAAAAAAAGGTCTCTCGAGTTTGACAGCAGCCAATCAGCCTTTGGTAGCAATTACAACTGATTTCTGTATCTGTCTTTTTAGACAAAGCTTGGCTAAAGCAAGAGTAGGTTCAAATAATTGTTATATCAACTGCTTTACCTCTGCTATGCTTTCTCTTCTTTCTAAGGGAGCGTCGTGAGGAGGATCTACGGCAGGCATACAAGAAAGCCAAAACTCCTGAGGAGGCGACTGCCATTCTCCAACGTTACGCCCAGCGTTTCTCCATAAGCGAAACAGTCCTCGAACGCCTGCAGCTGCCAAAGTTGTTGGACCGCAGCATATCCGCTGACCCCTCCTTCCCCACCTCACCTTTCCCACTCTCCCTCTCCCTGTCAGCCTCTCCCACGACACCAGACCCTTTCGATTCTGACTTCAATGGGCCCATGAGGTATCTGCGCCAGCAGTCTGCCCCGACTCCAAAGTTTACTTCTACATTTGAGGCGCGAATTGAGGAGTTTCCCAAAGAACCGTCCTCACACCAGCGGTCTCAGATACGCTCTCGCTCCTCTGAACCGCCATCAACCCGAGCCCTGTCACCCAAACCGGTGCCTTTGCTGATGCCCAAGCCTTATTTCCAGGTCCGACCTGCAGGAGGTGAAACTTGGAACAACAAGGTATGATTGACTCAGGCGAAGGAGGTCAGATATTGACTTACCTAGATATATCTGAATGTGAGAACACAGATGTCAGTATATTTTTGTCATTGCACTACAATTCACACGTGGAAACATTTAAGATTAAGGTGACAACAATTAAAATGTTCATAGTTGTCTACTCCAAATACTGAGTCCTGTTTTTAGCTGTTTTTGCACATGAACAATATCAGGAGGATCAGTCCAAAACATTGGCAGATGTTACCCTCTCTCACACGTGGGACACAGCAGGAAATAATCCCATTCATGTGTGATCTGTTCTCACTATTAGATATACCCAGTTTGGTTTAGGCTAGGATGCTGCCTGGGTATAGAAGGAAGTGCATGTGACTCCCACTTTCTTAGTGTCTGTTCATCGAACATCTACATGAACATATTGGACTATGCACTAAGCAGCTGACAATCCAGCTGCTTTCAACATTTGCACTGCCTACAGGTATTGTCACAGGAAGCTTCAGGGCTGCTGTGGATATACAGTATGGTGCTTCTTGTTCAGGTTGTGTACACAGTGATTCTAAAGCTTTATTCCTATATACAAAAAAGAAGATAAGATCTTGTTAGTCTAACGGTGATTAAGGCCTTGACCATTTCAAATGTGGTTACTTGCAAGTGTCGGTTTCCCTCCTTGTGGGTAAATTCCTCTCCGGGTCTCTTGGCATTTACATTAGAATACCACAGAACTGCCATGGTGATGAGCCGGCTGGTTTGTAGGAAAATGTAAGACATCCCCTCCCTGAAGAAGCATGTAATGTTTCAATTTAGCTCGAAGTACTCTCAACGGGATCCATTTCCTTTTCTTCTAGAAAAAAAATTACAAAATGGGAATTTTCATGATGAGATCTTATGTTTTGGTGTGGAAAAGAGGGAGGGTAAGATTATTATCAGACCAAATGGAACAAAGCACTCTTCTGGAATTCCTTGTCAGGAGTCTGAGCAAAGCCTGGGTTTCAATGGAGCCCTCTGTTCCCTATTGACTTAAGAAGTTGACAAGTAGGACCCTCTCAATGTGAAGTGGGCTCCCGATGGACAAAGAGAGCCCACACAGGCTGCAAGGAGAGGGATGAGAAGGTGGAGGCAGAGAGGGGGAGACTGAGCCTGCATTCACCCATCTTTACCACCGTGTCTTGAGTTACCGCTCACTAGGAGCTCTTCGCACATATATTAGTGCCTCTTGTTCATAGAGGGCAGTGTGGTCTTGTGAGCTGGATGAATAGCTAATTACTAACTGAGAAGAGAGGTTCATAATGACCACAAATGAGGCCACTGGGTTTTTTGGCGTGGTTTATTTTACATTTTTATTCGCAGTCAGTGTTGTTCAGGATTTCTATATTTATCCATGTAATGAATGAAGAATAAATTGGACAATAAGCGCCTTCTTATCTAGAAATGAGTGGTTCAATACTGTAATCTTACCTTGAAATTGCATATGTTATGATTTAGAGCAAATTAAATAAAATTGAATGGTATAGCCATATCGTTCAGCTTGCTTTCTTAACATTAATGCATGTTGAAGCCATTTATTGAAAAGCGAAGGGTATAAACACTACACACAGAAAATTAAACATTAAACTTTTTCTCTTTTTACCTAGGTGGATGGTTTGCTGCGAGTAAATGGTAACGTTGGAAGTGACGATGTTCCCACCACACCTGAGAGTCAAGGGAGGGACTCGCCTCCCCATTTTCAGGCATCCCCTTCCCAAAGCAAAAACAGCACTGTAGATGGTGCTGTAGATGTTCCCTTGTCAGAAACCTCACTCCCTCACAGTACCCACACCTCTTCTAGGGAAGGAAGTCCAGTGTCAACAAAGGCAAAGGAGACACAAGATGTTACAGAGATAGCTTCTGAGGACACTCAGGAGGTCCAGGAGGAGAAAGTCACTGAGTCAACACCACCCAGCCGGCCCACCTCACTCCCATCAGTGAGAATTCCGATGTTTTATAGTTATTTACATTTTTTTGTCTTTTAAAGAAGCATGGTTAGTGGGTATTTTACTTCAAGCCCAGTTTTCTGGGTGCAGAGTATTTTGCCTCTCTCAATAATGCCGTATATTGAATACTTGCCCTGTAATCTGTTCCTTGCCATGCATTATATCATGCATCTTGCAATGATTTTGCCCAAATTTAGTTGAGATTGAACTCTTCAAGTCTGAAATATCATGTTTCGTTTGTACTTCTTACACAACATAGGCCCTTTGATCTGCAGAATTTAGTTTAGCATTCAGAAAGAAATCCATATGTGACCCCTACAGGAGCTGCAGAAGCCACAGGAAAGCTTTGGAAAGACTGGAAACCAGACAGCAGCTGCTTCAGAGGAAGAAAAGCCAAATGCTGTAGCTCATCAAAACCCACCTGCAGGTAGTAGTATGCTGACACCTTGTGGTTACTTTTAGAACAAACACGTGTTACTGAAGTTCATGCAACGCTGTGCAACTATATTAGTAGATTTTAAACTTCTTGTATGTCTTTTTTCAGAAGCCAAACAAGAACAAGAAATGTCCAAACCATCTAGTGAAGACCTCTCTAATCTTGTCCAGTCTGGGGTTGATATACAGTCATATCAGCCAGTAGGTGATATCAAAACTCAAATTATGAGCCATCTGTCTAGTAGATGTCTAGTGGATAACATGCACTCATAACACAGTTCCACCCCCCAATCCAAGGACTTCCCTCTATACACAGACTACACAACTACCATCACCACGGTGCAATCCTTAATTTGTAAATTTATAACAATATTTATTTATTTATTTTTCCCGATTTGTATATTTGTACATTTTAAATTTTGAATACTGTTCGTATGTATATAGTGCTGCAGACCTGTGCACCTCACCCCCCTTTCTTTTCCTACATATCTGCACTGTGTAGGAGATGCTCTGTATCTCATTGTACATGTCTATACCGACAATAAAAGGCGTTCTATTCTATAATCTTAAATCTACCTGCAGGCCAATGATCCCTGCTCCCAGGAGCTCTTACAGAGGTCAGAGATGTCATCAAGCTCGGCTCCACCAGGATCATCTGGTTATCACCAGCAATGGGGAACAAAAGCAGGTATGTACATGTTTAACACCCAGACATCTGGCTTATTTACCATACTTATTGTTTCCGATGCTTGATCAGCAAATCCCTCCCTATTAGTGCCTGTTTTTCTTTTTGCCTTTCAATATGTCACTTTGCTTTGCTGCTATGATTAAAGGGGCATTCAAAGGTTTGCGATCATGATGAGACTTGTTTTAGCAAAGCCTCGACTCACTTATCATATCGCTGTAGTACATCCCATTTTATTTCATAAGGGAGATGGACATGCAATCCAACAAAACATCAATCAAAAAATCTGCCTTGCTTTATTGTTTTTTTTTTCTTATTTGTTTTTATTCATAAATTGTATAGCCAAACTGGAATTAATTTTTATGTGGGGAAAAAGTGTTGCTCTTTAAGGGTTTTTTTTATTTATTTTTATTTTAATTTTAGTTTTTTTTTTTTTTATACCAGTTTTCCAGTTTCCACTTACAGTATCACAGGAGGAATGCTGCAATCTGCACCCTCTCCACCTCCTGGTTTTGACATCTATCCCTTATTCTTTCCTCCTTTCTTTCCCTTTCTCCCCTAATTCCCTCTTTTCCTTCCACCTGCACATTTTTATTTTATTTCGCTATAGAGCTTGCAAACAGTGTCAGGTCTTCGTTGGCAACCAGCAGCCCTAAATTACGCTGGGAGTTCTTCGCTCCTCAAGGTAAACTCCCTCCACTCGTGGCAATCACATTTCCGCCCTTGAGTGCTGGTGCACAGGGCTTCCCTGCCGTTTCTCCAAGGGCTAGACCCCAGACCCATCTCTTGTTTATTCCTTCATTTCCAATGTTTTTGTGAACGAACAGTGACGTTTTCTGTGTTTTAAATGTGCTTTGAAGTTTCTCATTCTTAGTATTACTGGCTCATCAGTGTCTTGTTGTTGTAAAAGATGTTCTCATCATGTTTACAGAAGCTCTTAATGAGAAGAAGTGCCCTTTGACAATGTATTAAAAGAAGATTATACACATTTTTGACCTGCTTAACTTTTACTTTCATGCTTGCCTCAGTGTGCTTCACATTATGGGGGCTTTTCCACCAAAAGCTCTAACATCTGGTGTGTATTAGAGCTCTATTAAAGTTGTGATCAGCATTAATCAGTACCCACTGCAGTGGGAAAGCCAGATGTTGGGTAGGGGAGAAATATATTCTCACAGAACTGTAGTTACAGCCGTAACTAACAGAAATTTATTTAATTGTGTAAGGTTTATCTGTTGTTTGGATCATTCGAACATTTGACTGTTATTTATAAGTTGTTGTGGACTCCTTTTGCGTAGCAGTCTTTCTGCATGCAAGTGTGAATTTCAAAAAAATAATCTCCAAAAGTTGATTCTGTTCATCTGGACGTAGCGTTTTGTGGGAGAAACGTTTCGTCACTCATCCAAGTGACGTCTTCAGTCTCAGCTGACTGTAGGTTTCCCCAAATCTTATAAACAGTATATTTGCATAATGACTGAAACCAGCCCACTATAGGAACAAAGGGCTGGGAGGTCAGTTCCTTCATCATAATTATGCAAATTCTCATGACCATTGATCAAAGACCACCGATCAATGGCCATGAGTTCCATTCACAAAGAGTTGGGGAATGACTGCAATCACAGCATTGTAAGATGCTGAAAGATGTACCCTTAGGCCCCCTCCTCGATTCAGAGGTTGTTCCCTTTTCACGTAAATGGTCTCCTTGACTCCGCACTCAAACCAGCGTTCCTCCCTGTCCAGGATGTGTACATCCTCATCCTTGAAAGAGTGTCCACTGGCCTGTAGGTGTAAATAGACTGCAGAGTCCTGGCCAGACGAAGTCAAAAAAGATAATGTTCAGCTGTTTTCCACACACTGGTTAAACCTACAAAACCTGACCTAGTAAGAGGCAAAGTTTCAATTTATATCAACATTTTTCTAACTAGAAAGACAAAATAAAACCTTTGAACCTTTGACAAATTATTAATTTACTGACTATGATTGTTGCTCTTGGTGGACTCAGCTCTGTCTTTGTTTTCTTTCATCCCCATTTTACTCCTCAGGAAATCAGCACTTGGCGTGTTGTCTTTTTCCTCAATATCCGAGTGACTTAGTTTGATCCCCTGTGTCCAAATATCTCATTTGCTTTAACCGCTGTTTCCTTTCTCTGTAGAAGAGGCGGAAAAGGATCACCGTGGAAATGTGAGTAAATTCACAAAAACCCTTTTTACTGCTTATCCCCTCCTGCAGTACCATGGGTACACCAGTAGTTTAGCTTAATGTTGTAAAAGTAAAATTATGCGGAAGGGAGGGAATACACAAAATACAACAGGTAAGAGTGAAAAAGGTGTTTTAGACTTTAACAGAAACGCAAAGCAAGAAAACCATTAATATGACTGCATGTGAATCTTTCAGTATTATTATTCAGTGCTCACATACTGTCATATTTTAGGCGCCTCAGCTAATTATTATAGGACACACAAAGCTGTTTATGTAGCATGCCAGATGAGGATGCTGTAGTCGATGGCTGAGACTGCTTTTATTTTATTTTCATTTAAGCTCATCTCTCTCTTTCTCTGTCTCTTCTCTCCTTAGTAGGAGTCCTTTGGCTAGCATTGGAGTAGTGCTGTTGTGGTAGACCAACTATTTCTGTCTCCTCCCTTCTCTTCTTCTACTTTTTTTTTTGTGGTGGATGTGTGTGCACTTTGGTGTTGATCTGTGCGTGAATGGGTTGTGGTTGGATGTGAATGTGTGCATGGATATTTGTATATGGTAATATGTGTGTGTGGGTGTGTGTGTTGGGGTCTATCAGGTGTCAGTTCCGGTGTTACCCCAGGCCAAGCGGGGAGACCGCTGGTCTTGGGACCCGGATGAGGAGCGAAAGCGTCAGGAAAGGTGGCAGCAAGAGCAGGAGCGCATGCTGCAGGTACACAGTATACCTAAAAGAGTCAAGCATGGTGCATGAGGCTGCAAAGTTAGGGGTTAGCTTTCTTATAGAGAACAACATACCTACAGTGTGCTATAATGATATATTGTGTTTTAGCAGCACAAACCAGTTTTGTGGAAAGACATGACAGGTTGTGGTCAGTCTCGGCCCCTGAGGTTTTAATGACATTTAATTGTGAGACCTCAGACTCATTTCTACAAATGAGGTGATTTAACAAAAATAATAATAAATTGCAGCCGGTGTGGAAAGCAGGTGTTGTTACTGAATTTTGCTGTTAAAGATTATTTCTAACATGAATCCAGACCACACTGCTGCACAGCTGCACAGTCACTGACTTGCTCCGCTTACAGTCAGATGTATTAACCACATTTCATTGCTGCTCTCAAAGCTTGCCTCCATATTTGTTTTGTATTGAACACATCCTCCTGTAAAGGCAAACTCACCCCCATCCCCCCCAAGCTGCGTCTGTGCACACTTTAACCATTAGGTGGCGATTTTGTGCAGTGGAAGAACCTCTGTTTTGGTTTTATTCCCTCACTGTCTCCATCTCAAGCCACAGACAGAGGCAAGGACTCTGTCCAAAGCTGCTGCTGTTGCTGCTGCCCAAGTCACCCTCTCTCTCCTCGATTTATAACAGGTGCATCTCAAGTCCACACACTTGTCAACATTTAATTAAGTTGCAGTGTCCATTATTTATCAAGCTCATCTACAGTGTTATCTTGAAAAAAGAAGAAGCAGTGATGAAAGCCGATTTCCCTTCTTTCCAGTTGTTGCAGGATGGTTTGAGATGAGATGCGCTGAAATGGATGAATGTCTGGTGCATCAGTGTACTCATTACTTCCTTTTAGCCTCCCTGCGTCTGTGTTGTCTATGTGTTGTCTGTAAATGGCGCCTTCTTTTTGGGGTTCTTACACAAGTCTAAAAGGTTAAAAAGGTAATCTGAGAAAATATGTTTGTGTTTTTTCTGCTTTTATTGGATATAGGCAGTTATAAACCATAAACCATACTCCAAACCAAAGAACATTTAAATGGAGGTTTGAAAATTGTGTAGGAACCCACTGTTTGAGAGCTTCTGCATGATACGCTTTCTGCTTTTGTCTGCACTGCCTGCTTTTGGTCTCCTTTGTTTGCTTTTTGTTCCTAACAAGCAGACATAAAATCTGTTTTTAGGCATAGCAGTGGATAGGAAGCTAAATTTGCCTTCACATATGTCTGTACATCAAGTTTCACATAGTTAAAGTGCATAATGAGGGTATTCTGCATGGAAATGTTGTAGCGTGTGCCTGTTATTGCAGCTCTCTGTCTTCTTGGACCAAGTTAAAACATTATCACAAGCAGAGAATTTTTAGCATTTGGTTGGCCTTTTGAAAAGTCTCTCAGTACTCTGTTGATGTCGGATATGTCTGCGCATTGCCTTTGTTTTCCAACTGCAGACAGTTTAGTTTTCCTCTCTGCTGTGCTGCATGTCATGTGTTGTGTTACCATGGTAACAGGAGAAGTACCAGCGTGAGCAGGAGAAACTGAAGGAGGAGTGGGAGAAAGCACAGAAGGAGGTGGCAGAGGAGGAGAGGAAGTACCACGAGGAGGTGTGTGGGTGTGTTTTTTGCTTGACAGCACCTGTGATGGGTTTTTCTGCTTAACAATATCAACTGAATTACATGTAATATGTGTGTGTGAATTTGAAGTTTAAACGTAGTATTTCAGCTAACCTTCGCCCAGCTGACCACTAAATTATGGTTTAAAATTCATCTATGTTCATATTAAAACAGGAGCGTCGGATACTGGAGGAAACCGTGACGCCTCTGACGCCCCGCTCCTCCGCCCTGCCCTCCCCCAGTCGAGGTGAACTCTCCTCCATCCCAACTGATCCTCAGGACACTATCGTTCGTTCTCTTGCTGACTGGGAACGTAAACAGGAACTGCTGGAGAGGCAGTCGGTGAATAGCGCATTGATCATAATATGAGCTGTGTACCGTCACAATGTATAAATTCACCCTCATATGAACAGTGGCCAGAACACCTGCATGTGACATGTTTTTTGTTTTGTTTTGTTAATAAAGTATTTTCGTTTGCTACCTCGTTTAGCTGAGTTCAAGTTAAAAAAAAAAAAAAAACAGGTGCAATTTACAATTTACAATATAGTGTATACATGAATATGTTTATGATGCTCCTTGATGCATGCACAAAATTACATTATTTAATTTGGTCTTGACAATATGTGGCTGTAAACAAGCCACAACCACATATAGAGCACTTCATTGGATTTTAATAGCATATTTGATAAGTATGATAAGTATAAGTTATTGCTAAATTCATTACTTTTTAACTGGCTCAAGTTACTTTTGAAAGTCACTTAAGAGGACATCGAGGCTGGTCAGCTAACAGTTTGCTGTTTCTTACCTGCTGCCACAGAGGGAGAGCACAGAGAGCGTGGATCTGAAACGGAGAGAAAATGACCGGACTAGTGACATCAGCACCGCTGATGACAGCATGAAAACAGCCAGAAGGTTAGTTAAGGTGTCTCCATTAAGTAAATGTTCCGATGTTTTTTCAAATAATAAGTTCTTAATCCACAGTAGCACTTAATGAGGCTTAAATGTTAGAATACTGCTCTATATTTGGTCATAAATAGGAGGGCTTTCTTTGTTTTGTTTTTTTGCAAATGAGTTAAAAGGTTCAGTTTTAAATTGAGAGCCACTTTTGATTTTGATACTTTAGGTAAAGGTAAATCAGCTTAGAAGAGAACTGCTCTCAGGTTAAAATGATGAACTACTAAATGATAAAATGAGATCAGTGAGACTGATCCGCCTGTTTCTGTGTGATGAAACAAATCCTGCAGGCTATGGCCATGACAGTATTTTGTTTTGTGTCTTTGTCTGAATTCTGTGTATTTTTGACAGTTGACCGATCATTTCAGCACATTTCTCTCTCTGCTGTCATCAGCTCAATGAGTCAGAGCAGCAGTCAGGTGGAGAAATTTGGTCACAGCCTACAGAATGGCCAAAAGGTTCCTCCGGTGCTGGCCAAGTCTTCAACTCCAGTCAAGAAACAACAAGAACTCCCAGCAGACGGCAGCAAACCTCCAGGAGGACGAAGGTGTGTGAGAGAGAACAAGGCTTCAGTGTAGCTTCTGCCACAGTTCCTGAATATTATTCTCTAATAGCTTCCATTTGTTTTCCTCTTCTAAATAGAGGTGGGTTAAAAGCATGCACATTAATGCAGTTTCTTGTCCTGACACATATAATCTCCAAATATTCCATGTGTTCATGTTGCAGTGTGATTCTTTAACATTATTTTATCCTCTCATGTCCATTGTCTTTAGTTTTAAAAAAAATTCTGCTTTTTAAAAATATATATATATTTTATCTGTGTTATAAATGCATATTTTAAATAATCACACCAGAAACCAGCAGGTTTCTATTGTGTTGGAGTAAAAGCTCCTGTTATGCTGTTTGGCCACCAGGTGGCATCTTATACCTGCATTTTGCTTCATAGTCTTCCAGTACTTAAAGCAGCATTATTGTTTGCCATGACCGAAGTGTTATAAACCTTATCAGGAGAATCATATACTATAGTAACACATAACAATACATTTTAATGGATGAAGTAATGCTGGATCTATCCAAACATCACTGAGCAGATTTGACTGTTGTTCTGTCTTGGATTGGCTCGTGTCTGACTCTGACAGCCAATAGTGTCGCTGTAACTGCGAGTCATCGTCATGTTGCATGTTGCTGTCCATTTCCAGGAGTGGCCCTATTGATAATAACATGGGCCGCAGCTCATCAAAAACCCCTGCAGCATGCCCACCACCCTCTGACGCACTGCCTCCAGCACCCAACAGGTATTGCATCACAAATGGCCCACATGGAGGAAAGGGAGCTTGTGATTCACTTCTGCATTGTCATTTTCTGCTTTGCTGCTTCCATTTCTCCACCCAGCTCATAACATGTACCAGCAGCATTTACCGTCTAACCTGTATGGTATTTGAATAGAACCAAAGAATGGTGGAGTCGAGAAGTAGCAGTGTATTCATTCATTTTATGTAGTTTTGTTTTTTATGTTTCATCGTCGTACAATGAGCACATTCACATAAACTGCTCCAAATGATCCATTATCCAGCTTTAAGAAATTTTATGTTTTCTTTCAGTTAACATGTTTTTAAAATGCAGTTAACAGCACGCAGAGGAGACCAAAAACATACATGTACACCATGATGTCAGCAAACAGCCTCTGCTGAACATCAGTGAAAGCACAAGACAGCACGTACATGAATCTCTGCCACAGATAACTGCCTGCAGAATCTATAGGGAATGAATAAGACTTCTGGCTTTCTGGTTTCTGTTTGCAGTTTTATTGGCAAATCGTGTTTGAGCAGGCTTAAGTTACACACAGGTGAGCAGTCCTTGTAGAGATCAAAAGAGGGGATGCATTTGCTGAAAACACATCTACTGTCTGATGATAATGTTGTTTTTTCAAATGTGTTTCCATTCAAAGACAGTGACTGATAGAAGGAACAGAGAGTCTGGATCTCTTGGCTACACCAAAAACCCCTGAAATATTAGCTTTTCCCCAGGAGCTAAGTCAGCATACTAGTCAATGAATTTTCAATATTTTAAATATACAGACTCACAAGTTAGCAGGGGTCAAAAAGAGCACCACAAAACATAAGAGTGGAAAACCAGATTCTATCTTAATATTGGTGATTTTCCTTCTATGTGTCTTCCTACTTCTCTCTCTCTCTCTTCTATAGGTCTGTCAGTGGGAAGAAGCTGTGTTCCAGCTGTGGTCAGCCATTAGGGAAAGGGGCTGCCATGATCATAGAGACCCTCAGCCTCTATTTCCACATCCACTGCTTTAAGGTTGATGAAAGAGAGAGTGCTCATCTTTGTCATTCTCTGTTTTGTGTATTATCCAGATTAGATTAGATAAAATGAGTAGCAGTGTTAAAAGATAAGAGTGGTTAAATTATTGTTGTTTTTCTTCATTTTTTACTTCAGACAATAGTCTACAAATATTTCAGGTCAAGTCAAGTGCAAACAATTTTTAAATCATCAAACACGTGTAAGAGTATCAGTTGAATCGATGAGGCTCTACAAGGCTTTGCTTCAAAGACTGCCTGGTTACCTCTGCTCTTTGATTAAATTTATGTACAGCACTTACAATAACAGGTCACAGGACATTTTAAAATTAGCTGTGTTCCGTATTCTTCCTGAACTTGGAAAAGGACAGCCTGTATAAATAAAGGATTTAATAATAATCAGTCACCCATCTGTATGTGATCTGTCTTTAAAAATGTCCACCTTTTAGTAGAAATAATTGGTTTGAGTCTCAGTACCACAGAAAGTGAAGGTTTGAAAGCCAAAAAGATTTAATGAAGTCTTTCATTGGATTTGTTGACACTTAGAAACACTTAGGGGAACACCAGGCTTCTCCTTTAGGATACAACAGTTGGTAACAACATTTGCAATTTCCCTCTGTCCCTCTCTCTTCAGTGTGGCGTGTGTAAAGGACAGTTAGGCGATACAACCACAGGGACGGATGTCCGAATAAAAAACGGCCTCCTCAACTGCCACCAGTGCTACATCCGCTCCCGCTGTGAGTCCTCCTGAACCCTCTCCTATGTCTTCCTCCTCTGTCTCCCCCTACATTATATCTATGTCTCCCAGGGAGAATGGAACGTTCCCTAGGAATGTTTATATCTGTGGTCAGGGTGTACGGAATTAAAAAAAAAACACCACCATAAATAACTAAAAATAACCAGAAATAAATAACTATCTTTTTACATCATCCTCACAAAACAAAAAGTTTAATCTTTGTATAAAATTAGAAAAAAAAAGGAAAGGTATTCTTCTCCCTTATTGTTTGCTAATGTTGGCCATATGTCTTATTTTCAATGATGAATAAATGCAGATTTTAATAATGTGAGCAGCAGCAGTAAATACGGCTCTCATGAACCAGGTAGAAAAACAAACCAAATTTATTTTGATTTATTGTTTTCAAAGTAAACTTGACACTATTTTATGCTAAAACTTTTCAGTGTGTTTCAAAACTTAGACTCTTTATTGCAGCGTAACTGTGAGGCTGATAGGACAAGTGTATTTTAATATGAAAATCCTCGCCAGCGCAGCTTAATACAGGTGCACCAGATGCAGTGAAGCTGAAACGGGCAGAAGGAGGAAATGGGGGTGTTGCACTCAGAAGAGGAAGACAGTAACTTTCTGTCCCTTTCACCTTTACTGCACAACAGCAAAACTTTTTCAAACAACACAGCTCGTGTTTCAGTAACCTCTCAACAGCCGTTATCATTCGGGGATCAGTAAACCGCAAAATCAAATCAGGGCCTCTATCAGAAAACTCCTGAGTCTTTATCTCACATTAAGAAGGTCTTCTTTCATTAAAGCTCCATGTCCTTGAACATGAAGTCCCAGAAAAACAATTGTGGTTTATAAAAATTGCCAATTTGATTCTCTTTCCCCTCTTTTCCTTTCCTGTCAAGCTGCCGGACAGCCAACCACATTGTGACGCTCGACTGACAAGCACAAGGTTCAAAGGAAGAACCCCCCCATCCCTGTTTTAACCTGATTATCTGCAAATCACGTCCTTCGCAGCGTGTCAGAATCTTTGCATCTTCTGCAGTTCGATAACCATTCAAGATTCATTATGTGGCCCAAATGTGGGGGAAAAAAAAAATCTTCATATGTGTGTCATCTGATGCATGAGTGAAATCTGGATTTGATTGGTCCTCATGCCACCACAGACTGTGTTTCATCACGCAGCAGCGAGAAAAAGACTGCTCTGAGGCGGCAGCCATGTTGAAAAGAAAACACATCTGCAGATGCTTCAAACACAGGTAGACTATGTTGATGCCCTGTACTGTCTGAATGAACACACAAAAACAAACAAGGTGTTCAAAAATGTGAATTATTGCCAGTATATTACATCACTTTTTATCGTTTAAGAGAGATTTTCTTAATTTGGAGGGATAAGCATCCAAAAACTGGAAAGAATATAGATTATGTGGTAAGGCAGCTAGGCAGACAGAGAGCCTAAACAGGTTTAATCCAAAACACATTAATAAATGTATCCTCCTTCAGTTAAGTGATAAATTACAGCAAACAGATATAGAAAGTGCAATAAAGGTGACTATTTAGACTCAAATACAATATAGAGCAAGCCACTATTTTTATCCTTTGGCCCTTGCAGTGACCTCCAGTGTCTCTTTTTCTTTACAGAATAAAATTAGCTTCGAGTATAAAGACATAGTATGGATGTAGGTTCATCATTAGGGCAATAACAGAACTTAAAAGCTGGTTTTGTGCTTTTGGGTCACAGCAGGTTGTTCCTCTTCCAATCTATCAGCTTGGAAAGTCAAGACTTCAATGTGCCTTAGGAAAGCAAGGTGATGCAGGAAAAAACACCAGCTGTATGATGGTGTTTTATTTCTCCTTTATTTTATGTTGTTTTATTTTATTTTGTTGGAGGGATCTGGCCAAATTTTAAACTGCAGACAAGAAGGCTGCAGCTCTCCCTCACATCACGCTTTATTTTAGTTGATAAGTACTGTTTATTTTCACTCAAATTTGATTTCATAATTCCCCCGCCTCCCTTCCTCTGTGGTTTGCAGTGCTATAAAAAATGCAAAGACTGGAATAAAATGAAATAAAGCGTGTGATGTCTACTTGGTAAAAGACAGATTATGTATACTGCAGGGGGAAATTTCATTTAATTTGGATGTTTTATTCTAGAGTGATATAGACTTCTCTATGCTTTTAATTGAGGTAATTTTGATAATGGCTCAATGATAGAATTCATTTATACCTTGAAAATTAAAAAAAAAAAAATCACTAATACACGTTATTACTAGGTAAAGAGCAAAAATACTATAAACATATACCAGCAGCAGCTGCACCTGTGCAATATTTGGTTGGATGAAAACTAAAGATTTGTGGCGCTGGCTGCACATTTTCAGTCACTTGCTTCTTTTTTAAGGTGTATGAGAAGAGCTCTTCCTGTTATGTGTTGTGGATGTAATGAAAAAAAGTGCACGTTTAAGCCTAAAACCAAATGATTTGCTGTATGAAAGCAAACTAGCAAACAGCCTCCTTTTTCTCCTCCTGAACTGTGTCCTATAGCCAAGCTTCCCCTCTGGGGTCATCTCTTGATCTACAGTATTTTTAAACTTCTGTTATGATTGTGTATTTTTTTTTCTCAATTTAGTTAACGAATAATTGTCAAGCCCAGTCTCTTATAGCGGGATCTTTGAGACGGAGCTCTATATTCAGACGGTCATCTTATCGCAGGATAGTTGGGGAATGAAACCTTTTACGTCTGTTCTGTATTTATTGTAATATTCACCTGAGCACTATGCGAAATATAGATTAATTTGATGTTTAAATGCATTTGCATTTATAGCATACTGTATGTTTATAAATAAAATGTTATACATTAACGCCCTGCTTCTGTCTGGTCATTTTGCAATAAAATTACAGAAGAAAAGTAAATAAATGCTTTAAAATGTACATTTAGTAAGATGCCTGTTTGTTAAAAGTGTCACAAAGCGAAACTCTTCAGGTCTGGAATCATGAGTAAACGGACAAATATTATGCTCAGTCATTTCACCTGTAATCACAGCGTATTTGTTTTTGTCCTTTTTATGTGTCATGTGACTCCAAGAACAAAAAGGCTGACCGTAACCAATTTTCGAGTGTTATTTAAAGATTTACATAGAAATTGTTTAAAATGTGTCTTCCTATTGATAAACTATCAAATAATATAATAGCTCATTCTAACCCAGTGAGAATAGAAACCTCTTTTTTTTTTCCATGTGCGTTTTTATGACAGCACCATAAATTTCTAATGATAAAACACAAAAAACCCGTCTGTAGCCTAATGATGTTTTCAGGTGATACTAAAATAATACTCAAGTTGGGTCAGAATAAACCGAGAATAACGACTCCGAACATTTATTTGGCCTTAAATTCAAAGAGGTGCCTATTAAGGTCCTGAGTTTTTTATTAGAGTGCCTTTTTAAAATGTGACTTCATAAAATTAAAAACTTTACCTCGATGGACTCTCTGGCTTATACATGAAACGAATTCTGTGTTCAACTAACGGATTTCCCTATTTTTGATCTCACCTAAAATCTGGTAGCGATTATTCCCAAATTGTGCCTTGAGTCAAAAAACTGGATTCCACGGATGTTTTTTAATAAAAGAAAAAGTGTCAGCCAGTTTGTTTAACTCCTTATTTACCATTTTAAAAATAAACCTGATTGAGTTTCATTTCTTGAAAAATAATTAATTTGTGTATTTTAGTGTAGTTTAATTTCAAGTTCGTATACAATATTTCCCCCGAATTTAAACATTGCCTTTTAATAAGAGTTAGTTTCTTGAAGAAAGATTGACTGACTGTTTGTTTGTTTGTCTGTTTGTTTGTTTTTAAAGAAACATCCTAGTTTCATAAATTAAACTAAAGGCCGGATTACCTTCTCCCATTCTTTTTCTTTTTCCCAAAAGTCAATCGGAAAGAACGAATTGTGAAACGTCGCGGTGCTGTCCGAGGTGCTGAAATCTTCGCCCTTTTCAAACCACCGTGACAAAATTTGTTTTTTCAAAATTGTTCAAGAATCGTATACTACAAAAAGAATAATAACCGATCATTTCCACGATTTCTTTCCCAAAGAAAAACATGACAAAACAATATGGACTATTATTTTTTTTTTATCATCAACAATCATTTCAATGGTACACCTGGAAAACTATGTGCACATGTAGAAATATTTCCTTCTTAAATATAAGCATTCATTACCTACATATAAATAACTTTCAGATCCTGGACAAAACATGTTACATAATGCTCACAAAATGGGAGGGAAATCATTGTAAAATCAGACAAAGAGACAACATGCAAATTATATAGAAATAAATACAATGTTTGCATCCATTCCCCTTTTTTACCCAAAATAAATTCTTCCGAGGGAATTTTGTAAAACATCAAAAAGACTTGTATGATCGATCTACGAGGGAGTATGGCCTATGGTTCAACTATAGGAGACAATAATACGTATTAACACTATACAATTTTGAGCCACAAAAACATTGCCGTAGAAAGACACACAAAACATACAGATTTCCTGTCAGAGGTGAACATTGCAGTAAGTTTGTGCCTTTTTTCTTGAGGAAATAATTGTGTTTATATCGATAATTTAAAGAAACTAAACTCTCAGCAGCCTTAGAAACCAAAACACAGCTGTAAGAGGCCACTTCCACACAGCAGGTTGTGTCTGCAGAGAACAAAACAGCAAAATGCGTCAGCGTCTTGTTGGATATTGGTTGTTTCATACCATGTTTGTGGAAAGCATCCTCAGTCGTGGAAATTCAACGTCTCTGAACGAAACAAAGCATCTGATGAACACTGACATTTAATGTGACTAAACGAGGCTCCTTTGCTCACTGATGGCACTACGCCTTTCCAGCGCGGCGACGTTTGTTTATGCTCCAAATCTGAACAAAATATATTCATCTTAACAAGTCAATTGATCCGATTTTAAGTATTTATTTCAAGCTTAATGTGTTTTTAATTAATGCATGAATAATGGCTGTTTATTGGTGCACGTAGAAAAAGACCTTTTCTGTCTTATTTCTCAGTGTATTTCGTCCCGAGACATGCTTGAAAAGATTTTACACAACTTGCACTTGTTTGTAGAAAATAACTTTTTTTTTTTATTATTATTATTATTATAAGACGATCTGACTTGTCAAGATGGATATGTTTGCCGCAAACTGCCAACTGGCCACAAGAAACGACGCAAGGCGTAAAAATAAAAGATAACAGTAGTAATCTTTTTTTCCTAACTGCTTTTTGTTGTCCTTAAGTCAGTCTTGGGCGATTGCTTTTCAGTCTCCAGAGAAGGAGGAAACGTATCTCTCTTCCCCTGCTCTGCTTCTCTTTCCCCGATGTGAAGCTTCATTAGAACATGCTGGTCTTTACTAACGTAGCTTTGGCTCCGTTCTGTCTTTGCAAAGACGACAGTACGCTGGCGAAGGGCCCGCCCAATGAGTCCGGGATAGAGGTGATGGTCCCCGGTGCGGTGGCCCAGCCTTGGCTTGGTGCTGTCACTCCCATGCCGGTGGACACGGAGGTCTTCACTTGGTCCGCTTGTCCGTTCCCGGTGGTGTTGACTTGGCCTGCAGTAGGGCTCGGCCCGCCGCAGTTGGAGGTGGGCACGGGGTTCGGGCCCGGTCCTCCTGTGCTGTCAGGGTCGGTGGTTTTGGTCTCTTTGCTGTCTTCATCTCTCGAATCGGACTTTTTTCCAGAACTGGACTTGGCTGCAGCAGCGGCTGCAGCTGCAGCCCGCTCCTGCTTGCGGAATTTGGCACGTCGGTTTTGGAACCATACCTGTTTAGTTGTGAAAAGGTGGAAGTAGAAACGTTTAACGACCGTGACTTAAATTTCTAGAAGACTGACAAAGCAAAGGGCGACAGAAAAGTTGAGTTCTCTAAATAATTTAGTCATATAAAGACGTTTTAATATCTGAAAGCCTCAGAAGAAAGACGTTGTCTATTTTGCCAATGTGTACTCAGCCCTTCACATTGTGAAAGCAGTTCAACTTTTGCTTAAAATCTAGTGATAATGATTGATTAGACCCAGTATTTTGAAATAGTTCTCATTTGCATCCACCAGTGCGTAACTGTGAGTAAAAGGAGTCGGTAGTTATGTACCTGCACTCTGGCTTCAGTCAGATCGATTTTGAGTGCCAGCTCCTCTCTAGTGTAGATGTCCGGGTAGTGTGTTTCAGCAAAAACCCGCTCCAGCTCCTTCAGCTGTGCGCTGGTGAAAGTGGTCCGGATGCGCCTCTGCTTTCTCTTCTCGTTCAGTCCCCCGTGATCCGTGAAGAGTTTGTATGGAACTGTAAATGAAATGTCATGGTTACACGTGCAGTGGTCTTATCGGTGCAGTAATGGGGAGATATGAGGGTGTGTAAATGTGATGTTGTCAAATGGAAGTAAATTCAATATTTTGTTTAAAATCCGGTTAAGGACGCTGGGCTAAAGCTTCCAATTGTATTATGCCTTTGATTACCTTTGAATTAGTTCAGAACTGATAACGTTGCAGACCTGTGATGGGGTTAATTGTAATGTTAAACTAATTGTTCTTCTCAGATTGAGGCTCAAGTTTGAAAACTTGTCATAATGTTCCCATCCGCCCCGCTTGTTGCTACTGTAACTCCAATTCGGTGTCAATAATGAGCTTTAGTCTTTGGTTATCTAATTATTTTCGAAGCTTTATGTCTCATCGCAAAGTAAATAAATTATGCCTATCATTTTGGCAGCTTAAGATAATTCTGTTGGCGGTTTTGGGTGTGACTGGGATAGTATAACCCCGTAACCGAATTACCGCTTGCCTGCAATCGCTTCTAACGTGATAAATTCTTTCATTTGTGTAAGCAAATTTCGTTTCGTAAATACTAAACACATTTCCATTTTCAAATGCAATCAAGGCGTCCTATAATACACCGGGTTGAGGCTCTGGAGCCGCTGCTTACCTGCGGCGTACGGGCTGCTCTGGTGGTCCCGCAGGGTCCCCAGACTGCAGGACCCCGGCGTGAGAGACGGACAGCCGGAGGTGGCCCCAAAAGTGGTCCTGATGGGATTGTACTGAAACCCACTGGCTTGACTGCACGAACTGAAGTCCGCATAGGCCGATGCCAAGCTCGAAGTGTCCATCCCGGCCATACATGACTCGTAGGCAGAGGAATTTAGGTAAGAATACTCCATTTTATACATTTGAGAAGGCTCGGTAGAGTTAGAAAGCTGCACTTCCCTGGAAAAAATGGCAAACAAAACACCCAAAAAATGGGTTTGAAAGAAAAAAATAATAAAAACAAAAATGAGGAGGACGCGCGGTCTGAGTTTGGGGGGAAAGATTACTTGTTTGGTTTGAACTGATTGGAAAAAAAAAGGCTGGACGGTGGGTAGATGTTCACTGCTCAGCGCCTGCTCCAAAACTGGCCTCCTTTATAGGAACCTAGCCCTGTTTTATGAAAAGCCCCCTAAGAGCCGCCTAGCCCGAGGTCTCTAGAGCATATAGTCCTCATAATAAACTTGGCTCTTTCCGCTTGGACAATAGCAAAGCGTTTGGTCTTATTGCTAGCGCTTTTTTACATGACAATAACTCATCAGTCTATTGGGCTGGCACTGGGGGCCCGGGCTGTCCAACCTCCCTATCATTGATCCCCTGCATCTCTAATTAGAATTTAATACCTCGCCATTACGCACCCCTCCACCACCACCGCCGCCGCCGCCCACCCCTCTACCCATCCACCCCACTCCTCTCCAACCACCATCTTGCCCTTTAATTCAATCACACCACTTGGAAATAATGAAAGTTGGGTGACGATTCTCCCTGATCCAATTTTCTCCAAGCTTTTAAGCCTTTTAAGCGACCGTATACCTTGGGCAGGATTTCACATAGTATTCCCCCTCTACCTCTTCTTTCTGCCCGTCTGCTCCGACTATTTTCACTGATCCTGACTCTGGTCTTCTGCAGTGAAGCCAAACGTGTCGGCTTTTATCTCTTATAACCATCTATATTTTTATTGGGGGTAAACAATTTGTTACAAAAGCACCTGGTTTAATTTTTTTTAATTACCTGTTTGTATCAACTTTAGAGAAAAAGAAACGAGATATGCATTCACGTATATGATTTTTAAACTGAATGTGTGCTACCTTCACGCAGTATCGCCTGTCTGGATTTCTTCGGGTTTTATTTAACACGAAACTCTTAGACACAGCTCGATTTTAAATCCGGACAGTATCATTTGTGGTTCACGACTTTGTTGCTGTTATTAAGGGGGAGGTAGAAAGAAAGGTAGAAATTGTCTTCATGGGCTCAAAGCCCAACGTGTTGGAATTTATGCGCGGTAATAAACGTATTTTCCGGCTTCGATTTCATACTAAATTTAGCCTTTTCTGCCAACATTTTTCCAAATCTTTTCCTGCTCAGCTGCAGTATAATCTCCCCGAAACTTCCGGGTGTATTTTTATGATTCAAATGAGTTTGTAATTGTCTTTATTACTTTCATTATTCCGTTTATTTGGCAAATAACATCTTTCTAATGAAAGTAACGAACTGGCGAGGCAGTCATCGGACCTCTTAGGCTCACAATATTGGCTGAGTGGTTAATTTGGTTTGCGTAATAAGGTGAACCATTTTGTATGGCGCTTACACTCTCGATGCGTTTCTTCTTCCTCTTTTTTTCCACTGGACCGAGTTCAAGTCCTCTGTTGAAGCAGCGAGTTTTCCCTTTCAAATGATCGAAACACAAAAAGAAGAAAAAGCAATTACGGTGCATTTATTAAATTTAGCACATAAGTGTTTGATTATTGAATTTATTATTCTGTTCATGTTTGGGTGATTGATATGAGTAGTGGCCCTACATCGAAGTGTTACAACAATATTCTTATAATAATCTGAGGATAAAATGATGAATAGAGTATGTTAGTATTTTCTATTATTATTATTATTATTATTATTATATTGAGGCTATCAGCTTGGACATTACATATTACAAAATTTTGTCTTAAAACCTATAAAACGTCATCATAAGATTTTTATGGATCTTTGTTTCTTGTAACTGTAGTACCTCGGAGATATTTGATTTTGTCATAATATTGAGTTTTATATACAATATTTTTTATAGGCTGATATAAAAACAATGTAGACGTTTACTGGAAAAATGCTAGCAGACATAAAGATTTCATATTCTAAATAGCGGCACTAAATAAAATAAGATATATTACCTATATATTCTATAGCTATATATAGACTGTGCACCATTTATACTCCCATGACATAAAATATACGATTTTGTTTTTTTAATTGTTGCCTTTTAGTAAAAATATTGACTTGCTTTGTTATTTAAACTGAAACAGGGGAGAATATGAGGCTGAATGTGGCACCGAACACAACAAGGTGCAGCTCCCGCTAAATAAAAAAAAAATAAATAGGAAACCTGCTTGCATTCTGCCATCAATTATTTTTCTCCACAATTGCTGACGTGTTGCAGTGTGTTTCTCCCTTTTCTTCCTTGTGTACATTGTCTTCCCAGGGATCAATGAGAACAGAAAAAAGTTAATTCTTTCTTGACACAACCGTCCCTATTATGTAAATGTTTTCTTTTTTTATTTTCTCTTTCTACACACGAGCTGGGACCCAAAAGTTGTACCAAATGGTTAATTTGATTATTGAAACCAAAGAGCCAAATGGTTCACCGTCCTCCCTCCACGCGTCTGGCAGCGAGAAAAGAAACCATCTCTGGGAATTAATCTAATAACGCTCAAAGGAACGAGAAGTCTTTTCTGATATTTCGCCGAGGCAAATACAATTATAGCTTTTAGCCATCGGTTTCTTTCACTGAAGCTGCTCTTTATTCTTGTGGTCTATAGTCCCTCCGCCATAGACCAGCTATTGAAACGCCTCCTTTTTTATAGTTTCAACATCTTTTAATTCTTTCAGCTGGTTCGGCTGGCACCCAAAGCCGCAGTTTGATTTTGTTTTGATGTGAGAATATAAAATCTGAAAGGAGAAAATCTGCAATGTGAGTTGACTTCAATGACTTTTGAAAAGATTTTGCACGATGCAAGACGTGCAGTCAGCTTTTATGTGGATGCACAGGGTCTGTTGGCTGCAGGTTGAAACACTCTCCATACAAAGCACCTTTTCCAAACACCATGAGTGAGGAAGAAACAGTGATTTACACTAACATAATTGTCCTTTAATTCGTAATTGCGGTGCAAATAAAGGGCCTCAACCATATGTATTCACTTAAATAAATCAGGAAAACGCGATGTGTGCAAGACCTTAAATTCCCTTGGCAAGTGCCGGACAATAGAAGGGATATGGGAGGAACTCCTCTCCATTTAGTGCACACTATCGTTGCTCAGCAATATAGGAATGCGGGTCGACAGGAGGGACAAAAAGTGGAACAAAATGCCATTGTCTCTGGATGGATTGGATGGATCCACTCCCCTGAAAAGGCAAAGTAACAGAGGAGGATAAAGAGAGAGAGAGAGAGAAAGATGGGAGGATCCCGCTGTCACATTTCACCTACAATGTCTCACTCCTCCGCCCGAGGAAATCCTACGCTTATCAAAACGGTTATTAATAAGGCCGCGTGTTGCAGGGGAGGGGCTCTGGAGCAGATAAAAAATTCATTTTGGGGACGATTTCTCATGGCAATTTAGTCTGATGTCTCAATTTGACGGGATGGATAGAAGGTCTCCCTCTAGTTGCAAAATGCGTGAAAAATATCTGAGAAAAACGATTACAAGATGAGAAAGGAGGCTTTGCTACATCTTTACACTAATAATTCGGGTTATTATTAATGGGCGGCAATTATTCTGTAATAAATCACATTCGTGTTGGATATTTTGTCTAGGTGTACTTTCTTTTCACCATGTAAAACTGAACATCGCAAAATATGTTAACTCAAAAGGATGGGTTGGGGTGGGGGGAGTGGGGGGATCAAACATCAGACTTTAAGGTGTTCCAGGCTGGTGCGTAAAAGGCGCATCGCGTTTCCAAGCGCACAGATGGAAAGTGACATCTGGGAAAGAGGCAAAATTCAATTAGAAGCTGGTGTCTTTCTCCATGTCTGCAGAAAAAAACGTTCAGCCAGCACAAAAGACGCCAGGGATACAGCCTGCTGCGAGCAGGCTCAGTCTCGTGTTGTTGTTTGTGTATTTTGTATTTTTATGGAGAAAATATTATGTGCATTTACAGCTTGTTAAAATCTATGAAATAAAATCACCAGAGGTCACGGTGATCGTCAGATACAGTAAAGGAGAAGAAGGGAGGGGGAAAAATCAACTTAGCGCCATTTCATCTCGCCTTTATGGGTTTATAATGATCACGTAATAAATTGTGAATGTAACTGTTTTGAATTCGTGGACTACAGGTTGTGTTGTGTGTAATTTTTCCCTCTTATCTTACGTTAACTGTCTTCCAGATGCTGCAGCCAGCTCCAGCAGAGCACAGCTCGTCTCCTCTGGCCTCTCTGGCCCCTCTGAGCCTTTATCTGCTCTTCCCAAGTGACCAAGAGACCAGCCAGTGGATTAACATAAAAATCTTATTCCAGTGGATAAGATTAGGAAACATATTACCCTCAAACGCGGCCTTGGCACGGGCGAGAGCCAGGCAAGGAATCAATTACTAAATTACTCCAACCTCTAAGTCGACATTAACGCAGAGAAATGCCATCGACCGGTCCTGAAATAAGATTTCGCAAAGATGTGATCATTAAATCTCTTGCCAGTGTTCAAGAATTTGATTCATAAAATCGTCTGAAATGAGATGGAATTAAATTCTTATCGGAGCTCTTGTCATCGTTTCATCCCGCGCTGTTTAACGTTGGTCAATGGCCTTCATGAGATTTTCCCTGTAAATAAACTTGGTAATTGAATCCGCCTCTCCACGACACATTGTTTGGTTGTTATTAATTTATTGCAGCCATGCAGGCGGACGGATGGGGTATGCAGGCCGGAGTCAGGCTTAGAGTCAGAGTCAGGTCCCAGATAAATGTTTTAAGTCACAGACGCCGAACCACGTTGTGATTTAGACTCAGTTAAATTGCAACAAGCTTTTTTGGGGAGGGGGGCAATCTGAAAAATCATCTGTCATTTTTTTTTCTGGCCTCCTGCTTTTCCCCCCAGTGGGGTCAAAGCATATTTTATTTAGCATAGTCTACTGGCATTAACCCCCTTCCAACCCCCGCATTAGCAATTGACAATTATTAGCCTGAGCCTCATAAATCAGCTGCGTGACCCGTTATTATTGTTGAATTGAATAGCTGTTGGGGAAGTGAGGGTCAGTGTCATTAACTTGCCTCCCCTCTCACCCTCCGCACCCACCCCTCCTCTATCCTACACCACCCTCGGGCCCCCTGAAGGCATTTGGCTCTCTATACAAGGACCTGCTTGCTAATAATGCCGTGTGGTCGGCCTAAAAGCTTAATCACACATGCATTAAGCAGCAGACAGGGGCCTTTTGTGCGCACGTAGGTTTACTGGAATTAAGCGATTAATGGTCATCTGAGCGGCAGGCGACAAGGCGGCGCATCGAGGATGATGGAGCGGTTTTTAATGTCAAAAAAGGGAAGAGAGAAGGAGCGGAGGCGGCAGGGTGAAAGGAAGGAAAGAGG